TCTCCCATTGGCCGTCGGTCCACAGCCGGTTTAGTCACCACCATTTTCTTGGCCTGAGTCATCCTACGGACCTGATCACGGGGCTCATTCAGGCCGCTACCAATGTCCATTGGGCTAATAGCCCTTCCTTTTCTTGTCCTACCACGACGGGCAGGCCTGCCCACGGTAATTTTTGGGGCATTCGCAACCGGGAACTTGAACGGGCTTCTCCCTGACCGATCTTGAGCTTCAGTAGTAAGGAAAGGTCTAGCCGAGTTACCCATCCATAATGGGTTACTCTCACCAGCACGCGGCCTGTTCAACGCCGGAGCTAACTCTCCGCGCTGGCGCGTATCAGCTTCCTCCCCAACTCCAGTCACTTTCTCCCCCCGAGCGGTCGTATTAACCCAGACCAAATTCGGGTGCCTACGAGATTGCTGATAAGATCCGTCATCATCAAAGATTTTCCTTCCCATATTTTTAGTCGACATGTGGGGGCCAAACCGCTCTTTTCTTGTTGGAGGATCAAAGCTGCAGCTTTGGCGAGCATGTACCACACGACCGCACTTGAAGCAAAAACTTGGGAGATATTCATATTTAAATCGAATCCAGAAGCCGCTAGTCTCCTCATTCCTTGCCATGATTTGGGATCGCAAAGGTTGAGAAAAATCCACCAAGACCTTCACTTTGATAAATTTTTGTGCCGTATCCGTACACGAGAATACGCCAGCTTCCAAGACACGGCCAAGTGTGGAGTTTGCTATTTTGCGGCCAAACTGGTGGGTATAGCAGTCTTCCTGCACGTCCCAAAGTTGGACCCTGAACGGGGCTATGGACAGCCCCTCGAAAGTGTGATGAGTGATTGCCAGGTGTAGGATCCTGTCCTTAATGATCCAAGGGGTTCGCTGGAGAACCCATGTTTTTGCTACCTCCGAGGGGAGGGTGAATTCAAATAGTTCATGGTCCAATTGATGCACAACAATACGCCCCTGGCCCTGCCATGGTCTATTGACCGCATCTCGCAGCTCCGTAGGTGATAGCGGGTCAGCAGAGAAAAGGCGACCAATTAGCATCCTAGATTTTCGAACTCGAGTAGCTTGCACTTCCTCAAGGGAGAAGTTCACAACTTGGTCATCAGGAACACGAGCCATAGGGTTACCCTGCAAAGACAGCGACGTGATTTGAGTACTCACAGTATAAGAATCAGGTCCCCCTACCGACCAAGGAAAACTCGAGAAAGAAAAAATGATGTTATTCATGGGTAAACATCCCACCCAAAACAGCAGGTGAATTTCGGCCGAAATAACGACCCACGTACCGGAAGATTGCTTCTGGCCTCGCTGTTGTGTGCTCCTTTGCTGTCCCTGTCGCCCTTTTGGCTTATGATGATATATGAATACCACAGGGCAGAATAGTCGCGTTATATAGTTGGGCGAGGGTTGGCTAATCCCCGGACGAATCCATCCTAGTTGGATTGGGTTTCTCGATTTTCTATTAAAAAATTGGATATGGCCAGATATTCCCCCGTGTTGGACGATACGCTTAGGGTAGGCACCGTTGCGAACAATATGCGCCGTTAGGGCACCGTTGGAGTGGTTAAGAGTCCAACTCCAACCTGGGAACGTCAGCCAGCTCAGCCTCCAGCAATCGATGTGACGGAAACTGGCCACCCGAGATGAAATATTCGCACCGGAGATTACAAATCACCATGGAGTTGTGCGTCCGTCCTCGCCACATACCAGGATCTGAGTTCCGACGGGGCCACGTCACCCTGCGCATCAAGCATCCTTGCCTGGGGGAAATAGCCGAAAGTATCAGACACTCGTCTTCTTCACCATCGACCTCAAACGATGAGGGGAGGTGGAACCGCCATGCCTGCGGACCGATCGACCTCGCCCCATTTCGGGTTCTGAGTTTAGTCGGATCATGGCTGTCACGCGCCTGCTCTTGCGTAGCATGGCCAGGATAGTTGTTGAAAGGTAGGGTTAGACACTCCCTTTCATCGCCTTTCAGACTCAAAAGAAGACGGGAGGCGAAATCGCCATCCCTTGATACAGGAGCGTCGGCTTCTTTTTGCCGATGGGTCGCTTTGCACAAAACCAAGTCCACTCCGAGAAAAGCCCCTTTTACGGCAAGAGAGCACGCCGGATTCTTCCACATGATCGTTGGTATGACTGTGCAAGAGATGGATGCCCTGGTTGGCAAGCGCCGCTGTCAAAACACAGGCTAGCGACCGGATGATAGCCCTGTTGATCTTCAAGAGGACCCAATGGATCACCGACCACCAGAAACTGATGAGAGAGGAGAGAGCTCCTCGCCCCATTTTTTTTCCTATTAAATCCAAATCTAATCCTACGTTAAAACGCAAATTTTGAATAATTTATTGTCTAACAAGTAAATTAGTGTTGCAAGTTTGTTCAAGTTATATCTATAATAATCTCTAAATAAAATTGAGCACCTAAAATAGACATCATTGTATAGCAAATCTGTATGATATAGTTGTCATCAATGTACGTAATTGATACCAAGTGTATGCCCATTAACCTTTCCGACGGGTCTCAAAAGAGAGGCTCGTCGTTAGGGATGTCAATCCAACCCGTAACCATGGGTACCCTACCCGACCGTAACCGGTCAACAAGGATAATTACCCGCTTTGATGGGTTAAGGGGCGGGTACGGGTAATACCCGGTTTCAAAATAAAGGGTAGGGTACGGGTATATGGTAATCCATAATACCCGCCCCGTTATACCCGCCCCGCTAACCAAAGGGTCAATTTCCCTTGAGAAATTTTGTTTGGATTGAGAAATTTAGTTTAGCTACCATTATTGATGATGAAGATGTAGACGATTATTATGTTTGTGTGGATTGTAGAAGCAAGAACAATTATTATGTTTTTGTTGTTTTTATTTGTGTGGATTGTTGAAGCTAGAACAATTAGAAGTATTGAGAATTTTTATTGGACAACATTATGTATGTGCATATATGTGTATAAGTTCATAGTTTAGGATTCGTACCCATGGTTACCAGAATACCCGTGGTTACACGGTGGGTAGGGTATGATTATATAATTTTCATACCCGGTGGTTATTTGGTCGGGTATTTTAGAAAGCTTTACCCGGCGGGTTAGGAGTTGGTAATGGTAAACCCGCATCCGACCCTACCCATTGCCATCCCTACTCGTCGTTGTACTGGTTAAGGAATATGGAGTCGGTCGATGCCGTTTGGTACGTTGGAGGGGTTGGGTAGCTTTTAGACGAGTAGAGATTCCTCCCCGTATTGGCACACGTGTAACGTGGAGTGTGATGATTGGGTAGGTGAAGATACGGGGAATCACATGCTGGTTGGGACAGGTCTTATCTCTTGGACCAAGATTCTGGGCCTGGTCCCGTCCCGTCACTTCTTTAGGAGTGGTTTGGTAGTTTTAAGGAGATTTATTACCTTGCACCTTACTAGTTACTCTGATCCGAATTATGTTCATATAATTAATTTTGGCTCGTGATTTGAGAAATTAACCTGGTCCGAACTTTACAGTATATAGATACAATTGGCTGGAAGCGTGGTTTGACCGTTTGTTTGGATGGTCAACATCACTGACCGTTAGTCAACTGTCCAGGTCACCGCCACGTTAGCACCAAAGAAAAAAAGTTAAAATTCTATTTTCTTTTAGGGTTAATACCCTAGTTTAGCCCGAAGTTTAGCATGAGTGAGAGTTTTGGTCTCATTTTTTAAATAAGACATTTACGACCTACTTTTGAAATGATTGGACAGATTTGGCCCGAAACTTGTGTTGACTGTTAATATTAACAGTCAAACATTTATTCCGTCAATGACTCAGCATACAGTGCTTAGGTGGTAGTGATGTGGCATGCCATATCATTAAATAATATTAATTTATTTTTTTAATTCAATTAAAATTAAAAATTAAAAAAATCCTCTCTTCGACTTCGCACCCTCGCCCACCACCGGCGGGGTTCTGTATCTCGTTCTAGTTCGGCTCCTCAATGTCCTTGTTGGGAACCTCTTTCCTTCTGCTGCACAAGAATAGAAAAATCATCAAAATCAACAGAAATCCAGTGGCCCGTACCTCTTCAGCTCCCCTACTGATTTTGAATTTCTTGCAACCACGAACGACACGCTGGGAGCCGCCCGCAACTTCCCCTTCCCCCGACCACTTTATCCCGCCGGCCCAGTTCGAGTTCCCCAACCAATTGCAGATCAGGTTGTATTCGCTGAGGTAGATCAACACCTTGACCCCCGCTCTCTAGGACAAAAGGGGAACCCAACCTAGAAATCGAGCATCCAGTCCCCCATCATAGCGTCGTAGACCTGGTTGCTACAGGAGATGAAGTCGATGTCGTCTTTCACTCCCACAGTCGATTTCACCGTGTCCTCGCTCAGGAAGGTCTCCATTCGGGAGAATTCGTAGCTGAGCTGGCTCACACATTGTTTCCTGATGTTTCAGGGGAGCGAATTGATTTTGATGTTGATGGGAATTTTTTTTTGGGTTACGTTTACGTTGTCGGCGATCTGGAGAATGGAATGGAAGATTTGGTTGCAGGTGTAGAGGGCTTTCTCACACGATTCCTCGCTCTGCGGGCTCCAAGCAGCAATGGCGGATTCGCAGGGCGGGACAAGGTCACTGGCGATGGAGTCGCGGTTGGATTTAGGGCTTTGGAGGATTTGGATAACAAGAGGGGATTTTTTTAATTGAATTAAAAAAATTAATAAATATTATTTAATGATGTGGCATGCCGCATCACTGCTATTTCAGTATTGGATGCTGAGTCATTGACGGAATAAATGTTTGACCGTTAATATTAACAGTCAACACAAGTTTCGGGCCAAATTTGTCTAATAATTTCAAAAGTAGGCCGTAAATGTCTAATTTGAAAAATGTGGCCAAAACTGTCACCGATGCTAAACTTCGGGCCAAACTAGGGTAGTAACCCTTTCTTTTATTATTTCCTTTACCGAATTTAAAGAAAACAAAAGAAAAAAAATCGACCACTTATTTTCTTTTATTATCTCCTTCCCCGACCTCTTCCCCTGGCAAACGTTCCGCCTCCCGCCGACCATCTCCAGCTGCACCATCCCCGAGCTGTACACATCTGATTTCTCCGAGATCCCGAGCTCGAGGAGCCATTATGGCGCCACATATCCCCTTGTTCCTCTGATGTTCGTGATCACTCTGCTCTCGTCGCGGCGCATCAGCTTCTAGAGCCCAAAATCAGAGACGATCGCGCGGTGGTTCTCGTCGAGGAGGATATTCTCCGGCTTGACGTCGGGGTGGAGGATCCTGGATCGACAGTCGCTGTGGAGGTAATTCAACGCCTTCACGACGTCGATGGCGACTCTGCATCTGAGGTCGAATCTCAAGCACCTAGGGTTAGGGTTTCCGTTTCCCCCAATTTTTTGGGGGAAAATCCAGCATTTGGGGGACCCATTGGGGACGAAGTTGTAGACGAGGTAGCGAGATTGATTGGGAACGATGCAGTAGCCGATCATCCTCTCGAGGTTGAGATGTTGGACGCTGGCAAAGGCGGCGACCTCAGATTTGAACTCCTTCTTGCCTCGGGCCTCAGGACCGATTCGCTTCACCGCTACCGCGGTCCCGTCGCTGAGGACGCCCTGGAAGACGGAAGCGGAAGCACCCTAGCCAAGGAAGGACTAGAAGTTGGTCGTGGCGTCCTCGATCTCCTAGTTATGGAACTTGGTCGGGACGCATGCGACTTTCCGAAGGAAGCAGTACTTGATGCGGAGCTCCCGGCTCTCGGAGACCATTTGGATCTTGAGGATTTTGCTCCGATTGTTGTAGCGGCGGCGGATGAAGAGGTAGGATACGATGGCGAGGATGATGACGACATTGACGCTGACGATGAAGAAGAAGGGGCGGGAGAGCTTGAGGGAGACCCGGGTGACAATTATGAGGATGTCGAGTAACGCGATCGTGGTGCAGGCGAGTATCTCCAAAAATATTTTTCTTTTTTTGTTTTCTTTAAATTCGGTAAAGAAATATTAAAAGAAAATAGAAATTCAAATTTTTTTTAACCTTTGGTGCTGACATGGCGGTGACCTAGACAGTTGACTGTTAGTCAACTATGTTGACCGTCCAAACAAATGGTCAAACCACGCTTCCGACCAGTTGTGTCTATATACTGCAAAGTTCCGGCCAGGATGTTAATGTCTCAAACCACGGGTTAGAGTTGATTATATGGTCATAGTTCGGACCATAATAAGGTATTAACCCTTTTAAGGATGGCGAGTTTTTGACAATTAGGGGTGTGTAGTGTCCAGTCCGGGATCGGACCACACATGACCAAATAGACCAAACACAATGATGATCCGATCCTTGGTTCTAAGATATTTTTCACTAATGGACTGCGGTTCTCATAATTTTGGTCCAATCCGGACCGAACCGTTTCACACTCCTATTGACAATACATCTTTTTTTTTTAATTTCGAGGATATGGTGCTTTATGAGATTTCTAGTCTATTTCAAGTAACTTGTGGTCTGTTTTAAGAAATTTGTGAAATACTTCAGGGGGTCGTTTGGATTAGTGTTTTTAATTTGAGTGATTTGAGAGAGATTTGGAATCAAATCACTCGTTTTAAAACCCAGGTTTTTTATTCGAGAGATTTGTGTGGGATTTTCTCCAAATCACTTGTTTGGCAAACAAAAAGGGATTTTAAATTGAAAATGGAAAATTACATCTTACCCTTGGACTTTCCCTATCTGTACACGAAGGAAGGGAAAAAAAGAAGCAGCTTGGGTTCCTTCTTCCTCGTGCCGAGCGCTCTTCTTCTCTGCCATTCATTCCCTCACTTCGTCGTTCCGCTCTACCACTGCGGGGGAGTTGCCGCTGTTATTGGATTGATTTGGCTTGGGACTTGTAGGACCCTCGGAGGAAGTTCATATGGGAAGAGATGTCTTATCTGGAGAAATGGTGGAGAGATTCATCTGAGGAAAAAAGAGCATCTTTGACGGAATTGGTTAAGAATGGCCAGTTAGAAATTGTATAGGGTTTCACGAACTCACCTGCTGGAAGAAGGGTTCGACGCTGCAGATTCCCTCCGCGAAACGGAGTCGCCGCCGGTCATCACTCGGCGACAGCCGCTCTCTCGTCTTCGAGCTGCTTCATTTGGATGGGAGCAAGCAAACCCTCGCCTACACTACTGCAACGGATGGACAAAATTGATGGATAGACCGAGCAACGAAGGTTTAATAGAATAAGAGCAAAGTTGGATTTTCCGAAAAAAAGTATGGGCATATATGGAACAAATTAACAAAATATTGAGGGATTTCAAAATAGCTGGTGGTCATCAGCTATTTCACAATCCCACATATGTGGGTTTCTGGAATCCGGAATGTTTAAAATCTCCCATTGAAAAATTGTTTTCCAAACAAGTGATTTTAATTAAAATCTCTCACAGTGAGAGATTGTGCCCAAATCCCTCATTAAAAACACTAATCCAAACGACCCCCAGGGGACTTGTGGTATACTTTAAGAAACTTATGCTCTACATCGGAAAACTTATGGTTTGCTTTATGATTTTTTGTGGTTTAATGAGGTTTTGGCCTACTTCGTAAGCTTTCTGACATGTTTTATGGTATCTGTGGTGCGGTTTTTTGTGTTCTAGTTTGTATTTTGGATATGCTTCATGATATTTGTGGGGCGTGTGACACAAAATTTATGCACATCACCACAAGTGGATGATCGTCATATACACTTCCATGGAAGCCATGGAACTATGATAAAAACCCATTGATTTTCTAACAGGCAGACTTGTTAAAAAACCAAAAGTGAAAGACATGAAAGAGATTAAAATATGGATTCAAATTAGCTTCAATACCTGTTGAGATGCAAACCCTGCAGATGGGTGAGAAAATTGCACCCATATATGGGGGCGCTTCATCATGTTTAATGAAAATTTTATGGATGATGAAAATTTTATTATCCATAGAGTGATTTCATGCGACTTCGAATAGCTATATATGTTCAACTCCGTTAAGAGACGACTTGAACTTGGAAATTCAAGGGGAAATGCATGGATTTGAAGTGAAATAAGAGTATTTAACTATGTTATGTTTCTCATCTGGCAGGACAAGGCACCCCAAAGCTTACTGTCCACACAAGATAGATGCTTTGCGTGAAAGGTATGGACCATAAGTGCGGGCGAAACCTCCAACACTGAAACCTCATACAAATAAAGCAAAACCGGGTAAAAGTGAGATTATCTTGAAGACTTTGTAAGAGGCCTATAATTCCAAACAAATTTATATCTTTCAACATGATAAATATGAGGCCCAAGAAAAAGGAAAACAAAGCTCAAGTTTAGGCACATGAGACATGATATAAGCCGAGACTCTAACTCCTGAACTTAAACAATCAGAAACACAACAAAGATCGATTAGAAGCACAACAATCACAAAGCGGATAATAAACCAAATCAAATCCACGAGTCAGGAAGAGGGCTAAGTATACGAAGGACTATTCGGCTAGGGTGATGAGCTAGCAGAAAAGGTCGGGTTCCTCTTGCTGAATCGATTCCACAATCAAGAAGAAAAAGAAGAAGAAGAAGAAGAAGAAGAAGAGAAGTTGGTGTTTGAACAACCAATTCTAGGCTTTGTATTTCTGAATAAAATTGTTGATTACCCTCTAAAAGACTTAGTTCATCCCCTTATATAGCCTACAAAGGTTTTGGGCCAAAAATACGTCAGGCAAGGCCAACGATAGACCTGAGCGCGTGCAGGTGCAGGTTAATCTCTTCATCTTCGCCAACAAAGAAACCCGAGTTTAGGTATAAAAGTCACAAAATCCGCAAAGGAAACATAAAACTCGTCGGCAACAACTAGGGTGAAAAACCCAACCTCTCTCCTAAATCCCCGATCGGGGAAGTGGCCTTCAAGGCCGAGGAAAATCTCTGGAACCAATCCCCGGTCTCCCCTTCAAATACCCGATCGGGTTTTGCACCTCCATGGCCGAGAAATTGGCCTGAAGCAGCCCCAATGCCTATGATCATCACTTCTCGTCACACGACAACTCCAGCTCCTACGTCGAGCTTCTCTTGGGCAATTGGACTCTTTACTTTGCCTTCTTGAGCCTGTAAAGCCTTCATCTTTGACCACGATCATTGTATGCTCTTCGAACTCTATGGACGTCTTGTGAAGTGACTCGGTTTGCATCAAGACAACTATTGGAGAATAAGAGATGGATATGAGATCTTTTGAGAAGAAATCCTTATAATAATAATAATAATAATAATAATAATAATAATAATAATAATAATAATAATAAGAAGAAGAAGAAGAAGAATTGGCAAAGGAAAATCTCTAGAAATCATACTCAAGAAGAACACAACCTTTAACATTGGAACTAGGGAAACAATTACAAAGGTCATAGGAAGAATGAGATGTTGGACTAGACTCCCACAAGAAAATAGGAATAATGATAGTGGTAAGGTAAATCCGGTCACACCACATAAGCAGTTTGTGGGAGAAATGCAAGGCGCGAAGGAAAATGGAGTTAAGGGAATGATTCGGACTCAACCAGACTTTGCATATGACGTGGGATTGCTTGGCAGGTTTAATAGTTGTCCTAGTAGAGAGCATTGAAATGCTATTGAGAGGGTCATGAGATACTTCTAGAGAACAGCGAACCTTGGTATACACTATCAAAGGTTTCCTGATGTACTTTACTTTGGGGGTACTTCTAATAGACTCACCTATGTGAATGTGGCAGTGGGGCCGCTCCCTATGGAACTTTGGAAAAACAAAGTTGCTAGAGCATTCACTAAACCGGGATAACTTGCAGGTCCATAAAAGCATGGTCTATGAGAGAATAACACTCAATGAAAGGATATGGTGTGCAATGGGTCGCTCCCTTAGACCTGGAAATCGGGTCGGGTTGGGGATTTCGGTTACGGGTCGTGTCATGTTTGGTTGGCTTACTTCGGGTCGAATATTGACCCAACCCATTCGGTTTCGGGTCTGGTTACAGGTCATTTCGGGTTATGATCGCTCTCAGAAACAATATCAAACATGCTTCATATTTTCTCAAAGAACATAAATTTTTACATATGCATGACAATAGTTTACCTAACACATGTTAATTAACATATTCTCAAATCCTCCCATGCTAATGAAACGAAATACAAATTGCGCAAATCATCAAAAAACAATCACAAGAGTAATACTACTAGAAGAAACACATGATATTTTATTATCCTTAAACTCCAAACATGTCATTTAAATCTTTGTGCTTTTTTTTAAACATCTCGCCAATTTATGAGTGATTTTATCATTTTGGGAGTGATATAAAATGGAACGGGTCTAACAGGTCGACACGCTAACCCACCCAACCTGACCCAAAAAATTGCGGGTTATCTGGTTCGGGTCATTCGGATTTCGGGTTATAAAAATTTCTACCTTTTTGGGCGGTTTCGGGTCGGATCAACGGGTCGTGTTGTAAATTGCCAGGTCTAGGTGTGCTATACTATCTGAGTGGGTGGGTCGGTTGGTCGGTCGAGGACTAATATTTTTTGGATAAATTCCTAGATTAATTAATTATTAATAAATTATTTTGTATCCTTAACAGTTACGAGATAATTGATTAAAAAAGAATATTCGAGAGATAATCCTACCAGGAATTATCTTAACAGACGCATTTAATTAAAAGGGTGATATCTCCCTAATTAATGCAACTTATTCAAGAAAGAGGGTATATTCGTGGGGTTTGGCTACTATAAATAGTTGTTTCCCAAGCCCCTCTAAAGCACACCAAAATAGAGTTGAAACACGAAAGATAGTGTATTCAAAGGAGCTCCAATTTTTTGCACAAAACCGACGAGTTAGAGAGAAGACAGTTTTATCCTGGAGGTGACCGGCAAGTATGAACTATTGTGCGCATGAGGCAGTGCCGCAAACGTCTTAAAGAGAGCGACCTAGTCCGCGACTCAACCAGATTTTGGTAACCTCGATTTATTGTTGTTCTGTCAATAACAAATGTCGGCAACCCGACACTCGGCAAAGTAGCGGCACAAGACCCATAAGTCACACATCATGCCAAAGTGAACTCCAAGAGTCATCCCCGCCTTTAACATGAGCAACAACCAAAAACCTTTCTTCAATTTGAAAATTCGCGACCATAGACTGCAACTAGACAAATCCTTGAGGTCCCCCGACATCCATTCAGAGACATCGTTCGGGAATTTAAGGTGATAAGTTCCTTCCACCATGAGTCTCTTTCGAGCGCAAACCACCACCACCATTTGCACAAAAGAGTATTATTCCTAAACTTAATGTCTGCAACTCCCAATACTCCAAACTGTGTAGGCGCTTCGCATTTCTCCTAGACCACGAGGTGTAACTTTCTCTTCTCTTAAGATCCTGATCAAATAAAGTCTCTCCGCGCTTTCTCAAGATTACCGATAAAAGAGCTTAGTGCAAGAAAAAAAACAGCACGTGTCGAGTGGTTGAATAGCAAGGACAACATTACAAAGTACAATCCTTCCCCCCAAGAGATAAATATTTGCCTCTTCACCCTTCAAGCTGCATATTCACATTGCTGATCACTCCATTCCAAATAGACAATGTTGATGTGACTTGAATCGGACTATCAACCGCTACGACTCGAATAGTTGGGGGTCTGTAATCTCCTCGATATAGACCCACATGGAGAAGTATAAATACTTTGCATCTCTTTTTTTAATATGTAATCTTCTCGATATAGTGAAATTGGCTCTCTCCTGCCCGTGGAATAGCTAACACACATCGTGTTAGTGAACCACGTAAATCGTGTGTCTGTGTTTTCGATTCTCGCTTTCGTATTCTTGCTTTCTCGATTCCGGCAATTTCGCGATCTGCAGCAGCACAGTAATAACAGAGAAGAAGTATGCGATGCTCCCAAAGGAAGCTCGGGGTAAATCGCCGGAAGGAACTCCTAGTCACAACTCACAACCCAGAATTTTGGCAAATCTGCACAGATTGTCCACCTCGTCAAATGGAAAGATCTTGCTCTTCTCAAGGTTGATATGAAAACAAGTGATATTTTGAAAGCAATAAGCGGAGCCATGATGTTGTTGACAACTTCTTCCGATCCTTCACAAAAAACAATGGTGTCATCAGCATTTAAATGGTGTGTGACCTCACCCACCGCCTCATTTCATCAATGTAGAAACCTGTGATGTGACCCACTGTCTGAAGTGCTTGGGGATGAAAGAAAAGATGTCCATAACCAGATCGAAAAGGAAAGGGGATAAGGGATTCCCTGCTTCAATTCCCTATGCACGTTGAAGAATGCGATAGCCTCCCCATTAAGAAAAACAAACAACTTTGACGAGGTGACAACGCTTCGGATCCACTTCTGAAACTTCGAGTGCAAGCCCATGTTATTTAGGATTTTGAAAAGGTAGCCCCATCTGACTGAATCGATAGCTTTCTCGATATCTAGTTTGAGGACCAACTCTGGCCTCCCACTCTTTCGTCTACTATCAATTAACTCATAGGCAATAAGACTTGCTTCATTAATATACCTCTTCTTGAGCCCTACAAACTGATTTCGAGAATAATCCTTCCCATCATAGACTGCAGGCAATTGAATAGTAGCTTCAAGATGATCTTGTTTAAACTCCCAATATAGCTAATGGGACGGAAATCCTTGATTTCGTCGGCTGCATCTTTCTTGGGAACAAACACAGGAACGAATGAGCGACAGAGTGAGGCAAGTGTTGAAATAAAAAATAAAGTTTAATTAGATAAATATAAGAGAAGTCTAGAAAAGTGTAGTGTGTGCATTGTGTTGAAGTGTGTAGAGAATGCAAGTTGGGTTCTGTTTGTGCCATCTAGCTCAAGACACGAACAATGATATTTGTCGTGTGGGTCGACTCGTCATCCGTTCGTCTGATCTCGCCGGGAGGGAAGAAACCTGTGAAAGAGTCGGGGTTGCCCCCCGGATTAAGCTCCAACGATCAAGTCAGTGTATGTTTGTGGAGAGAGTTAAGAGAATAGATAGAGAGATAAAATGTAGAGAGATAGTCGAAAGTGGAAAGTGAGGAGGGCGAGAGGAAGTCCTTTCCTTGGTGGGTTTCATACCTTTATATACTCGTAGCGGGTTTAGAGCGTCATACATTGTCGATTGGACGCGGTATTACTTAATCTCTGCGGGGAGTCTCTTAGCAACACCCCCAACAGGTTCATTTATGAGTGTCTTAAAGAAAAAGGAAAAAAATAATGAAAAATTAGAACCACAAATGTAAGGCGGTTCTCAACTGCCTAAATTAATAGGGTGTAGATTTTTTTGTTTTTGAAGCCTATAAAAGGATGTTGCTCCTGCGTATTGTATTCAATCCAAGAAGTAGAAAAATAAAAGAAGAAAGAAGTTCCAAACCCCTTATCCAATCTAAGTCCTCTGCCAATCCACTTCTCCAAAAAAACAAAATAAAACCCCTCTCATTTCAAAGCTCAATAAACGAGCTAACCCCACCAATAGTTTTGATTAATAAGGAAATAATTAATTTATTTCCAACAACAAGACACCAGTAAAGTTGAACTCGTCCATGGCTTTAACAAGGTCATGTTTGAAGTTTGATGATGTTCCACGCCTTGTTGTAGAAATCTAAGGCAAAGCAATGAGGTTCAGGCGCTTTGTCGCCGCCACAGGAACTGAACTCCTCCCAAATTTCCTTTTCAGTAAAGGAATTGGTAATTGCTAACTCTCCTCTAAATCTTGCACGACCACTCCGTCAACCTTCAAACTCTATAACTTGTTTCTCTTGCCATTATTATTGGCCACCCGGTGAAAAAACGCCGTGCCCCTAGCATGGAGCCACAATTCCCGAGACTTTTGCTGCCAGGAGATCTCCTCCATCAGGAGAATTCTACCCAATTCGCATTTAAGTAAACTTCTCTTTGTTAGTTGAATGATGAGTTTGCAAGATGGGAGGGATTTAAGGGAGGAGAAAATGCATATGAAAGAAAGTTCGAGAAACAAAAATGACGAGAAAATGTGGACCTATATCAAATGAAAACATCATATTGCTGATGTGCTCAAGAATTATAAAAACCTTACACGCTAAAATGTGGACCAATATCCATGATTCAGCTGTTTTACACACTAAAACCATCTACTAAATTGGGATCCTGTACTTGGTATACACAGTCCGACCGTAGACACGGTTTCTAAAACATTGGTGTAATGTTTACAACTCTGTTCATCTACTTCGTTTTGTTTTCTCAAGTATCCAATGATCCATTGGGGCGGTTAGCAGGGGCGTAGCCAGGATTTTATTCAAGGGGGTGCCATATTTTTTTTTACATATATAGTTTGATATTTCATATTGTGAAATTATTCTAAAATTATATAAATCGGCTAAACTATCAAGATTTCACAGTTAATGTATCTCACCAAATAACCATTCACAATTTCAATTCACTTGATGCGAAAGGCTGGTCAATCGTTTCACTGCATAAAATGTTATCAACTTGTGCATAGACAACTGGCAATAACAAATCAAATCAATTTTCACATGCAAATACATTAATGAGAACTAATTTTCTCTTTCCCACTATATATCGTTATCATAAGCATCTAATGATTTTCTCTAATAGTCTGCATTTCTTATCCATATTGATAAACTAGAATGTAAAAATGTAGATATTAGTAGATGAAATTAATTTACATAGTTTGTTGTGGTTTAATGATAGCACATTTGACAATTGATATTGAAATTAAGAGATTAAATATCATTATTAACATACTAATATTATTAATTTTGGGCTTTTCTCCAAATCCAAGGGGGTGCCATGGCACCCCCTTGTTTGCCTCTAGCTACGCCTCTGGCGGTTAGGCAAACAAGATAGACCACAACCTCACTAAACCATATAGAAACCATGTATTGACGCAACACACCAAAAGCATATAAAGCCCCTATATTTCTGAAGTCATAATGCACCACAACTGAAATCCAGATCATTGGTTCACCACCAGGTCCTATTGTCCCATCAGAGGATTGAACATCCACGTCTCTGCATCCTCACGCTGAGCTCCTTGATTTCCCTTTGAGCACTCCCAATATCCTGTCCAAGCTTATCAAGTTCCTTGTTTAACTGGGAGTGAGCAGAATTAAAATAATCCTCTAGCTTCTGCAAATCTTTCTTCAGGAGCTCTAGCTGCTTCTCCAGCCCATCCGCAAAGTCCTTTACCTTCTTGTCCAAAAATTCAACACGATTAGTTGCTTGCATAGGTACGATGCTGAACAATATATCTAAAATATTAGAGCAATAGCTCCAAATGTGGCAATGTATAACAAGGACGAGGGAAATATACATCATTAGTCAAGCGTTGTAGCAGTTTTTCATAAAATCGATACATTTCATTTTTCAAATTATTCACTTCCTGGCAAAGAGTTCACAGAAATACCTGGAACATTAGGAAAATAGCCCCAAAGTCGGTAAGTATCACAAGGACGAGAGAAAGATACCTTTTCAGTCATTTGTTTTAGCAGTTCTTCATTCGATTTATTTGTTTCTTCTTTCAGATTGTTATCCTTCTCCGAAGAGTTCCCATAAACGGCCGCAGATGGTTTGTCATCCCTATAACCCAACAGTTCCTACAAATACCAATAATCGATTAAGTACAACATCATAGGGACTTAAGTTTATGTGCAAAGAGAAAGAGACATACAGTCATCGGAGAAAATGCAAGTTGGCCAAATGGTTTTCCACTATTCCGTTTAGTGACAATTTCCACAAGTTCCAGAAGCTTCGAGAGCTGAACACTTCTCTTATTCTCATCTAAGGTATTGCAGTCAAAGACCATGAATCGATTATCACAAGAGTGGAGAAGGACCTGCAGGAAACCAGTACAAATAATCATTTCTAGTCTACCAAAGCAATAAACTCCAGAAAATGCTACTATAAGAAAGTTGAAAATTCACCTGCAAAGATTCAGGGGGATCAGGCCCTAGATAGTCGTCCAGAGTTTGACCGTCTCTTTCAAGATCATCCCCACCGGTGAAGACCACAACCAGGGAATCATACATATTCCACCCAAATATGGACGTTAGAGCTAGAATTCCTTCAGTTTCCGCTTTTGTGAAGCGATTATTCACAGAGAGTACAAGAATCAGGGCATGGATCTCATCTTTCGCCATTTCAAAGCATTTGCGAATTTCGCTATCGACTACATCAGACTTGAGCGAGTGACCAAAATGTCCTACCAAGAAATAACTCCTATCAATTTAAAGCTCTAACAATAGGGAGAAAGCAGGCATCATCATAATATGCAGCTAAACAGGACATCAAAAGAAAAAGCACCGAGATATGAATATCCAGCTTCGTACCAGGAGTATCGATAATTCTGAGCATCCCACCATCTGGCAACAGACCTTCCTCCAACGCACAATTAAGGGTAACACCACAAGGACTAGCCTCGGAAGGGAAAGCATTCCTCCCAAGAATGCAATTACCAAGTGCACTCTTCCCGTTACCACTTCGACCAATTAGCACAAGCGTTTTCTGATTCTGATCCGGATTCTCAACTCTCACACCTTGCCTTGAATACGTTTTCACCATTCTGGCAAATCGAGAGCATGAGGTAAGTTAATTAATGAGACTTATTAATAAAAAGAACAATGCCCATTCAGTAACGTAACCCTAAAAGAAACCTAACAAGAACGCTGCAGCAAAACGAAAATCCTAATAGAGTAGGTAATCCAAGAAATCACGAGAACATGGGAGGATTCCTTAGGGTTGAGAATCAAAATTAGCGAGACAAGAGATTATCTAGAATCCGAAACCCTGGAAGAGTTTCTCAAGGAGTAAAACTCGACAACTCGAGAATCGACGGGACGGGACGGGACGAAACAGAACAGAAGTTTGAGTTGCGTCGGTTACCTCGTCTGGTTCGCGAGAAAACTTTCAGAGGTAGACGATTTGGTGAGCTCGAGTCGAGGAGAGTTTAAGCGGGAGAGGGAAAGGCTGCAGCGGGGTCTACTGTAGAGTTTGGTTATGCTGCTAACTTGGGCCGGGTCGCAATTGGTACCTCTCTCTCACTCTTACTCAACTGCAGGCTTTTGGTATGGAGGAATGGGCCTTGGACATTTTTAGCATGTTGTTTAATCAAAGGCTAACAACAAATTGTATGAAATCATAACCGGGTCGGTTCATGAAATGCGACTTTCATCCTATTTCTACCCGCATAATGAACAATAACAGAAATTTGGCCCCACATTCAAGCAATAGCTATAGTTTTCATAAAATACTATTTTAATTACAAATTAAAAGTATAATAGCTCAAAACAACTGGCACTGTACATTCAGACTGCTTTTCCTATTCATGCAGATTCGATTTTCCTGTTCACCGAATTTTGATTGGTTGATGGGTTGTGGTGGGGCCTTTGAGTCATCCTCCCGTCGTTTGTCGTGTGCTCTTTCTTGCTTTGGTTTGGGGTGATCTGGAGAATGCTGAGAGAAAAATCGCGTTGGTCACAGAGTTGCTTTTGTGGGGCCGGTGATTTTTGGGTGTTGAGGGTTTGCTGATGGATACTGTGGGAACGGGGATTTCAATCGCCGATTTGTCCCATCAATGCTTTTTTTATGAGAGATGGTTTATTGCCCTTCTGATTGAACGCAGTCTTCTCAACTTGCAGAGAGAAGAGAGAGGGTCAGTGACTGGATAGATCAGAGAGGAAAAAATCCCAACCAAATCTTCACGAAGAGGAAGGTCTGCTCATCATGATTTTTTCCGTCTCCGTCATTATTACTTTTTGACTGCAACACGGTGAAAGTTGGAAAGCCTTCTTACAAATATGATATCACTCTTGCTTTTCTCTCTCAATTCTCTCAATTTCCTTGCAGCATCTCGTATATAATAGCATCAAAACCTCAAATTAAATAGAACATAATATTAGGATTTTGAACAATTTGAATAAGACTAATAGGGGAAGGAACATTAGATGAGAGAATGTGTGGCCTCTAATCGGTCGAATTTTTAATATGTCCATAATTAGTTAGATTGTGCGTAATCAATCCAAATCGACTCGAACCGAAATTATATGGGGTTGGAATAAACCAATCAGGAAAACTAATATGAGCCGAAGGATGCAATGTTTGGAAACTTTTTAATGAATCATTAACATATTTGCGTGTGTTATACACACCCGAAGAGTCACATCTCTTCTGACTCGCACGAAATTACACCACAAATTAATCTCGACTAGAGCCCAAGCTTTTAAACTCTAACCGGGTGCAGTATAGAGTAAGTATTGAAATTGTCAACCCGGGCCGGTCCATGTACCCCTACTTCAGTTGTTTTATTTTGTTACAATTAGCAAACTTTTAAACCAACACTTTGTTGCTAGATAATGCTTAAAACAACTGAAGTAGGGGTACATGGACCGGCCCGGGTTGACAATTTAAATACTTTCTCTATACTACACCCGGCTAGAGTTTAAAAACTTGGGCTCTAGTCGGGATTAATTTGTGGTGTATAGTTTCGTGCAAGTCAAGTATTTGCCGCGGTTCCCAGGGAACTCGGTCTGTTATCTTGAAAAAGTTGTTGGTTTTTAATCTAGCTTTTAATTTCCAGATTTGCAAGTGTGTGTGCTTTGCTGGTGCTAGACTTGGTGTGTTTTCCGATTGTGTGTAGGTGCTGCATGACCCGGAGCAACCCGGCACCTTTGCTACCACTTGACGAGGACATAAACCGAACTCTCCGGCTCCTAGCACGGGAGAGAGAGAGAGCTAGCGGAGGCAAGGAGAAGAAGTGAAAGAGGGGGGCAACTTTTAGGTCCCGGTGTTAGTGGAGAAGAATTTGTAGAAGTGGAAGTTGAACCCGTCGAGGTAGTAGTAATGGCGGGGAACCAAAGGAAGATGGCGCTCAAGCCCGCCAGTTGAACGATGCGGCGGAGGATGAGGATGCCCCGAAGACGATGGGGTACTATATGGCCCCAAGGCCGGCGGACATTCAATCGGCAATACTACATCCTCCAGTGGCAGCAAAAAATTTGGAGATCAAGCCCGCTCTAGTGACTATGATAAAAAGTAATGCTCTATTCCACGGCCTTGAGAGCGAGTCACCAAGGGAGCAAGTGCAGAGATTCTAGGAGCTCGCGGAGAGCATGAAAATCAATGGGGTTCTGGCCGAAGCTTTGCAACTAAGGCTTTTCCCTTACTCACTCTTGGGGAAGGCACTTAGGTGGCTAAACAACCGCCCACCTCTGTCTATCACCTCATGGGACGACCTCCTCAACAAGTTTATGGCTCGTTATTGCCCGCCTTCGAAGACGGCGGAGTGGAGAAAGAATATTACTCATTTCGAGCTAGAAGAGGACGAGACCTTGAGGGATGCTAGGGAGAGGTACTCCGATTACTTTCTTCAGTGCCCTCACCACGGGTTTGAAGAACATTTTCCGATCCAAACCTTCTATGGATGCCAATGCAAGAAGATAAAATTCTCATTGACTCCTTGTGTCTGGGGAAATTGATGAATATTGCTCCACCCCAAATAACCAAGAAACTTGAAGACATGGCCCTTAGGGGATATGTTTGAGGGTTGACTAGAAGTGGAAGAAGAAGGAATGATAGGGGAGTGAGAAGCGTGGGAGCGAGTGCTCCGCTTAAGGCGAAGTTGGATAAGTTGCTTGAGGTTATGCTTGAAGATAAGAGGCAAGGAAAAAGGCCGATGATGTCGTGTGACTAGTGCTCGAGCACCAGTCATGAGATGGCGGAGCGTCAAGCAATAAAGGAGGCAACCACTCCGGAGGAGCAAGTCGGCAACCTTGTCGGCTTCCTCAACGAGAGACCCAAGGGAGCTTTACCTTCCCAAACCATGGCGAACACCAAGGACCATGCCGAGGTAAATGCACTTCAAGTGAGAAGTGTGAAGGTGGTTCCGGAATTCGCCACTAATGAAGCAATGGAGAAGGAAGATACCAACAAGGAAGAGACCAACCCAAAGAAGGGAGAAGGGAGAAGGGAAGCCCTCGAGGAATGAGAGAAAGGCGGAAAGGAAGGCTTTGCCGGTGGATGGATACAAACCACCTCTTCCTTATCCCACAAGGATGTACAAGGAGAGGTTAGAGAACGAGTGTAGAGGTTTCATGGAAATGCTCCGCAACCTCCACCTCAACATCTCTTTCCTTGAAGCCATGGCTCAAATGTCAAGATATGCCAAGTACCTCAAAGGATTCCTCACCAAGAAGCCAAAGCTTGAAGGCCTCGCCAACGTGACTCATTAGCTCGAGAGGTATTGTGAAGGACATGATGGTGAGAGTGGACAGGTTTTGCTATTTGACCAATTTCATGATTCTCAACATAAGTGAGGACTCATATATGCCCCTCATCCTCGATCGTCCCTTTCTTGCCACCGCCAAGGCATTGATAGACGTTAATGAGGGGACCTTAATTTTGAGGGATGGAAAGGAGAGAATCAAGCTTGTAATTGATCCTAGGGTTAGGAGTGATGAAGTGAAAGGAGTAGTTTCAAATGATGTTTATGAGAGTGGATGAGAGCCTCTCAAGGCAAACCCCACCATTACTTGTGTTGCTTTTGATGATGTTGAGCATGAAGTTAAGAAGGGTCATATGCCCAAAGGATCGAGGATGAATGCTTGGAGACGAAAGATGAAATGAGCTTTGGCCAGGAAGATGGGGGAGGCCGAAGCAATGTTGGCCAACCAAGAAGGCCAACTCAAGGAGCCTAAGATGGGAGGCTACAAGCCTCGCCCCAAGAGTGTGGTGAATCCGCTCTCGGTGGCATCACATTTGAAGTCGTGATCAGTCCCCAACCGTCAAGCTAATGACGATAAATTAGCGCTTGTTGGGAGGCAACCCAACAGAGGTTTGTTTTCTTTTCCTTAGTTTTCGTTTTAGCATCTTGTGAAGAGTTCGAGTGGTGAAGTGGTGTCCCCGTACTGTGAGTTGTGGTTTTGTGGTTTATGTTTGTGTTGTTATCGATTAAGAGGCACGGAGGATGATAGACCATTGATTTCACATGTTTTTACCCCTATTCTTGAGCAGTTTGAGATGTTGATTCTCGTGTTTTAAGCCGATTTCACGCTAGGTTGGGTGTTTATGTCATATTTCAGAGCTTGGCATTGACATTGAGGTGAAGAAACGAGTTTCGGGTCAAAAGGAGGACGTTTGAGTTGAAGGGTGCTGGAGGAGCAAAAGACCCGACCATGAGCAAAAATACCCGGTCGGGTAAAAATCTGAGGAGGCCGGGGAAAAGTGTTTTTGGGCGCCCAGTCCAGAAGGGGGCCCAAGCATTGAGAAAAAAATACCCGCTCGTGTATTCTTGACCTCGATCGGGTATTAAGGGCGTCACCACTGCGCAGCGTTTCGAAATCCACGGCCAGGCCCCGGAAATACCCGACCGGGGATTATGATCGGGGATCGCGAGCTGCGGAATTAGATTGAAGAGAGAGGGGGAGTTAGGTTAGGTGGCTGGCGGAGAGAAAGTAAAGAGGATAAGAAATAAAAAAAAACTGTAAATAAATATATTAACAAATGAATAAAATAATAATAACTTTTCTCGTATAAGAATACTAACTAATATGATAACATATTTTTTA